AAGAGTTTAAAATAAAAAAGTTAAAGATCATCCCTCAAAAATAAATATGGCGTCAAATAACTCCAAAAATCAGTTTCAACATCCTTGGAAACTATTTTGTAAACATTATGACACTTATCGTATGCAAAAAAAAGGTCATTACATTAACATAGAGGGTGCATACAAAAAAATAACATGACAAATTCCCATAAAAAAAATTCCTACAGCCACCCCTACGAAGTTACGTGCCCCTACTAAAGCACGCCTCTGAAAATCGGTTTTTTGTTGATAACTTCCAAAATACTTCGTGTAATTTATTTTCTTTCAATATGATGGATACTAGATAAAATCCCTTAAATTGTACCCTTTCAAACACACTTGACCAATCTAGTTTGCCAGGGACGGACTAGCTTTAACACAATAATGCTAATTTTTTTTACACCCTTTCTGATAGGCTTAGCAATAATATTTTTAGATAGTTTCAACCTTGAACTAGAAAAAAGGTACTCCTATTCGATGTCGAAAAAATGAGCTGGTTTCGAGAAAAATCTGTTTCGAGACAAACCAACAATGCAGTGACAACTGATGAATAATATGTGAACAAAATCACTGATAACAAATCAAATCAAATCAAATCATTTATTTTCGTGCCATTTACACTTACATGTTTACACATGTCAAAAAATAGTACATACATTTCATTTTTTAAAAAAAGATTTCACAAAGTAGCTTAAAATTTACAATTAATACCTACTTTCTTAAATATTATATTATTAACACAATTCAAAATACATTGAAACACTTTAAAATAAACTAGCAATCAAAACACTTTAAAATATACAATAAAATACATCAGACATAGTACAAACATTAGGTTAAGACGGCATTAAAAAAAAAAAACAAAAACAAAGTGCTGGAGCATCTAATTCTATTTATCACAGTGATAGCAATTTATTTCCTACCCAAACAAGTGTGGAGTTGCTGAATTCTTCTATTGAATAAAATGCACATTCAATTAGCATGTCTTTAACTTTCCTCTTAAAATGGATTCTGCTATGATTTTTTAGGGGTTCTGGAATTTTATTGAAGAAATTTATAGAATTATATCCAGGGCCATTTTGACACCTATGTAAACGATGGTAAATAGGTTGTAGGTTATTTTTATTTCTTGTGTCATAATCATGAACATCACTGCCAGATAAATCTGTCATGACCGTCCCTGACATACATCAGGTTCTATAAGATGTATTCACCTGGGAGAGTCAAAACCTTGAGGTCAACAAAAGCTTGTTTACAATGATCTCTGTATTTCAATCCTGCTATTATTCTTATGGCTCGCCTTTGCAAGGCAAAGACTCTGCGGGAACCGCTTGAGTGGCCCCAAACTAACAATGCATAACTTAAATGTGAATGGAAGATAGAAAAATAAGCCTGTTTTAGAATTTCTGGAAAAACACACAATGACAAATTTCTCAGAACAAATGCATTTTTGCTTAGTTTATTGGATGTCATTTCGGTATGGGCATCCCACTGTAATTTCTGATCTAGTGAAACTCCGAGAAACCTGACACTGCCAGTCACCGCCTCAGTTCTTTTCAGTGAAAAAACGAAGTTTTGTGTCTTGGCTTCATTTAGGAAAAGTTTATTTGCTGAGAACCATTTCCTAGCTCTCGACTGTGCCACCCCCGACATTTCAGTGGCAATCAGTAGGTCAGTGTGTTTGGTTTGTGCAGTCATGTCGTCTGCAAAGTTATAATAGATTTCATCCAAAGCGATGTTGGGAAGATCATTTATGTAAAGCAAAAACAATATTGGTCCTAAGATTGATCCCTGTGGTACACCAACATTGATTTGCTGTTTATCTGATACTATGTTATTAAAATTAACAATTTGTTGTCGATTTGTTAAGTACGACCTTATCAGTTTTATGCTGTTATTTGAAAATTTGCAGTAGGGTAATTTGTGAGAAACACAGTCGAAAGCCTTGCTCAGGTCACAGAAAGTGGAAACTATGTACTGAGAGCTCTCAAAACCCTCCATTACACTCTCAACCAGCCCCAAAACCGCCAAAGTCGTATTTCTTCCCTCTCTAAAACGCTAAAACCAAACTGATTTGCATTTAAGAATCCTCCATCTTCCATATGTTCAGTCATCTGAATTTTAAGACATTTTTCAACAATTTTTGATATGGAGGGCAGAAGAGATATGGGTCTGTAGTTCCCAGGATCGTTAGCTTCCCCTTTTTTATATATAGGTGCGACTCTGACAATTTTAAGGCAGTCTGGGAATGTATTTTGTTTGATACACATGTTGATCAACTTTGTCAACGGAACAAGCAAAAAATTCTTGACACCCTTTATCAAGTTGATATTAAGATTATAGATGTCTCTGCTAGTCTTGTTTGTTAGGCCATCAATCACCGTTCCGACATCATTAAAAGAGACCTTCCTGAAAGAGAATTCACGTCTGTCAATTTGTAGGTTTTGTAAGTTATCTTTAGGATTTATGTCTTCGATGGGAATTTGTTTTTGCAGATCTATTGCTATGCTAACAAAGTAGTTATTAAAGTCCTGTGCATTGATTTTGGTGTTGTCTGTATTTGTCTTAGAGGGCTTACCCCGAAAATCGTTTATGATCTCCCACATGCACCTGCTTTGGTTTGATGCGCCTTGCATTTTCCGATCATTACATTTGATTTTTGCAGTTTTTATTGCCTTTCTATAATCATTTCGAAAATTTTGAATATAAGCTTTGAGTTGGTTATTCGGGAAATGTTTGTAAAGATCATTCAGATACTGTAAATGTTCACGCATGTTTTTTAAATCATGGCCAAACCAGTCAAAATTATTTGTGTGCTGTGCTTTAACTTTACATATTTTTTGTGGGAATGAATCATTGAAAGCGGACTCAAGCAACTGCATGAGGGTCTCAAACTTCGACTCCAAGGAGGATGAATTATCAATAAAGCCAAAATCGACATTCGCAATGATTTCAAAGAATTTGTTTTTTCCCCTCTGCGTGATAGGTTGACAAAATTTTTTTGTGATTGTGCTAGAGTTTTTTTTGAGAGTGCAGTTGACTATAATCAGCGGACCATCATGATCAGACTTACCCGGACTTATGATAGATGCTTCAAAATCATCCTCTGAAAAATTAATGAAGATGTTATCGAGGCAATTTTCCCCTGGTGTGGGCTGAAAAATGGTTTGTGATAACCCATAAGATGTAAACATGTCAATTAGGTCCCTGGACATCCTGTCTTCTGTGCAAAATCTAACGTTAAAATCACCTGCTACAATGATCCTGTTCTGAATGTCAATCTGCCTTAAAATGTGATCAAGTATATTCAAGAAGGTAGTAAAATCTCCTGCTGGAGAACGATAGATAGAAAGAATCAATACATTGTAAGTAACTGACTTTGCCCCACAAATTGTAATGCATTTCTCCACACTCATTTGTTTAACATTCACCAATTTGGAAAAGTTTGACCCCCTTTCCAGCATTATCAGTGAACCCCCTTTGGCAAAGTTGGATCTACAAAATGAAGCTGCTACTTGTAAGTTTCCATCCGTAGATTGTCTATTTCTTCAGTCTTGAGAAAATGCTCCGTGATACAGATAATGTTTATGCCCTTATCGCAGGAGTAGGTTTCAAGTTCTTCTCCCCAAATGTCTGGGATCATAATTTTGTGTATTTCGGTCTGAAATACTTCGATTTTGAATGAGCTCTTGAAGCTGCTATTTTTTGTCTTCATTTTATAACATCTTGTGTCTGTCTGTGTGCTAGTTTTAATGTACAATTGTACGACTTCTTCGGTCACGGTAGGTGCAAGCCCTGAAACAAAGAGATACATTTTTTTCTGTGCTACTTGTAGCTGGAAATTTTTGCATCCACCAATAACTGGAGATTGTCTTTTCTTCCCATATGAAACTGTTTACCAGAGGTCTTCATTTTTATTAACGCGATCAAGCCAGAACCCACCGAGAATCACGAGGTTTCACTCAATTTTTGTTTGTTTTATCCTTTTTAAGTTCCCATCTCTGGAACCACTGGATATCCTAAGGTTCCTTAGGACTACAAGGGCTGCTTTGGGCAGGAAACCTGAACTTAGCGGCAGAATGATAGGTAGAATAGGAGCCTATGTTGGAGTGCAACTAACACCTCCAATACACATTCATACACAGACTTTTTGAGAGTTGGTTAACATTGGACGAAACTTCGTGTTAAACAACAGAGCAATAACTTTCTACAAGATTTTTCAAAATAAAATCGTTAAGAATCCGCACAATACTATAGATGGCATGAATCAAGGATACTGACAATAATAAAAAATTGACATATCATTGCTCGCACTCTGTCTATCTCTGACATTCTTCATTAGTAGCGTCTCTATAGTATCGACACAAACCATCTTAATCAGGGATCGTCGATGCCACCTGTGGGCCCTGAGCCCACGCTGGGCATAGCTAAATGTGAGGCTGTCACGTCCCTCAAGGGTCTCCTAGCGGAGCGATTCCTTGGGATATGGATGGAGGCACCTGGCATGAAGCAGGCTAAGGCTCATATTGATGGGCCCTCTGCCTGACTCACCAAACAACTACTGCGCCTGAATAGACGCGAGATACGACTAGTGACTGGTCTCCTAACCGGACACTGGCACCTAAGACGCCATCTCCACTGCATGGGCATTACGGACGACCCGGAATGCCGCTGGTGCATGGAGGAGGAGGAGACGGCAGACCACGTCATCGATGAGTGCCCTGCACTCATGCGCGCGAGGTTCAAGCACCTGGGCAAGTTATATTGATGCCCGATGACGTCAAAAGGATGAAGCCAGGGTGCCTGATTGGCTTTTCTAAGGACATAGGCCTCTGGTAGAACTCAGTGGGGCACGACGGGTCCACCACAGGAGACCTATGTGCATTACGGTCGCGGCCGCCCACTCTTTCATTCATTCATTCATTCATTCAACCATCTTAATCCTCTCAGGATGTCATTTGAAAGGAAATAAAAAAAAAAACTGTTAATTCTACGTTAACTTTATTATACTGCAACATAAGGAAGGAATGTATGAGTGCTGATCCCTGTATAAACTGGAAACGTAAACTTTTTTTTCAACATTGACTCTTCCTGTTCCACCCTGATTTTTAACCAAAAAAAAAAAAAACTTTGGAAGTGCAAGTAACTATGCATGAAATATTTGATGAAAAAAAATTGGAGATTCTATAAATGAACCATCTTTTTTTTTACATAAAAAATTATCATTTATATTTTAAATATGTCCCTATTTTATGTTCTATATCTATATATACTTCTCAAATATGTGTATTAAAACAAGAAAAACGTTTTTGGAGATAAGCGTATATGTATAACTAAGTACATGTTCTTATTCTGTAACAATTAATGCAATACGCTCTATTTGTTGCTACCGGAAAGCGCAATGAGGAAAAGCATGTTCCATCTATTTTGTCAAAAAGTTCAAGGGGCTCTACCTATGCGAGATGGCAAGATGCTAACTTGCAGTAAACAGGCCCCATTCAAGATTTTTGGGTTACCTACTTTGAAAAAGAAAATTAATTTAAATCAACTTTGCTATTTTAAAATATTTGATTTTTTATTTTTTGAAAAAACTTATGAAACATACATTAATTTTTGGCAATTCACAATCTATTTTATAGTTCTGCAACTGAAAAAAACTTGCCTCATCAACAAATATCCTTAGATGTTATCATCCAACATTAATAATAATTATTTCTCTTATCTAATAATGAATATACACTAATTACATACTATTATGCTTATTTAACTTGTTAAGTAGGTATTTTATTTAGTTGAATTTCAATTATTTCTTCAAGGAACCACCACAAAAATTGCAGTAAAACTATGTAAGTAACAACATTTCTACATGTTATACATATTTAACCAGGTCTTTAACAAAAATCTGACTCAAAGAGGGCATTGATTACAAAAACGTATGTCGCGTGGGTTTATATAGACTTTATTTGTTTTTGTTTATGACATCAGTCAAACGATAAATCGAGCAGGACATTACAAAATTATAGGAAGATATTGCTGAGACATACGTTTTAAAAAAAAAATAGCCATCTTTGATTTACATTTTTTTTCGAAGATCCAGTATTATGAGCAGGTTCCCTAGCATTTGTATTGACAATCTTGTATGAGTTATATGAAATAATTACAATAATTGTCAATATTAAGCAGAGGAATTGAATAAATATAAATAGGGTTTTTTTTCCAACAAAATAAGTCATTATTTGGATCTGAAATATCTTATCCTAAATTTATAAATACTTGGGCCTGGTTAGCAAAAAATCAATCGAGATATATTTTTTTTATTTAATTAATCAATTTACCTGGTTGAAAACAGTCAGAAAACTAGTTTCAACCAATGAACTGGTTTGTGAACAAACCTAATTATTGTAAACATTTGGGTAAATTCTTAGCTTAGAGCTAATACTAGTCTAGGATATAAAACCTAAGCTGATATGGTGCTGGTAAAATCAGCTCAAGCTGATATTAAACCTAATTTGTATTGGGGTGATATTTTTAACATATTTCATTGTATTATTTCTGGCTTGGACTCTGAAATTTTGTAGCAATAACTGATATTAGACGTCGTCATAAAATATATCTACTGTACTGTATCAAAACTTTCCCTTATATGCTTTCTGACACAAAATGAAACTGATATTTGGCATTTGGTTGGTGGGCAAAAATTCATTTGAATATCTGGCCACTGATAATGCACAAGATAACTTTATACCGACTTTGAGCTGTTTAAGTACCAACAAACGTGCTTGTGAAATTTGACATCAAATTATGAGGCATTTGTCAATGCCAGAAGGGGATAATCGCAATTACAAAATAACAAGTTTAGGTGTCATAATGACTGAAAATATTCAAATTTTGAAATTATTGGCCGATTTGGATCACATTACAAAAAAAAAATCAAAATGACTTTCAGAAGAAGTATCAGAACGGAGCAAGACGCAAAATAACTTATTTTATCACAAAATGCATATCAACGACTAACTTACCGGCTTTTAAAGTTTTAAGTAAAACAGTTAATGATTGAAAGTTTCAGAGATGGGTTTGTAGAAACCCCCAGTATGTTAGGGATTGCAAGCTCTAGAGGGTTCCTAAATATGCCATTTCCCAAAGATAGTAATATCCTCCTCAGAATAAAATATTGAAAGGTACCATAACGCCCATAAGAAATGTTGGTTACAAAAAAGTAAATCAACGTACCTTTTGTATGAAATTTGGCCAATTGGAGCAAAAACAGCCAAATTATTTTCTCTGAAAGAGATGCTGATACACTTTGCATCAGTCAGTCGGTAATTTCAATTTGAGGTAACATCGTTATGTCAGTTTTCAATAGAGCAATAAGGGAAAGATTTTTTTAACAAAAGAATTTTTCCACATTAAATAATAATATTTTTAAAAACCAGGACCAATAAATACTGTTATAACCAAAAAATCTAACCACCATTGTAACTATATAAACATCCACAAAATAATAAAATATAAAATACAATACATATTTGTTAACAGAATATAAATCGTTCGTGCTAGGTCTGACCTGCTACTACCTACATTGTACATACTTACAAAAAAAATATCACAATTCGAACGAGTTAAACTAGAACTGCACCCAATTGGTGTTGGGGCTGGTCTGAGGTGCTGAAACTGAGCTAGAAAAAAAAAATAAAGCAAGTTGAAAGCTTTTTCAAAATATTTTGTATTGAAAAAAATAAATATTACAAAACCAAATTATTGTTGGTAAAACTGGAGTTAACTGGCTTTATTGGACTTAGCAATGTGATGGGTAATGATGGTGTGATCAATAAAACTGGACTTGGTTTTGACAAATTTTGAGTGTGAGGTTGGCAGGGATAGTCTGCGACTTTGTGGCTGAAGATCCAAACCATCCCACTTTTAATACATTCCTGGACTGAGATATAATTTCCAGTAGACCAGCTCTGGCTCTATCAGCTCATTATTGCGACAGACTGAAGTTTGTGGAGCAATAATCAATAAACCATAGGTTTTTTTCACATCCTTAATATAATATGTCACTAGTTAAGCCTCGACATTTTCCATTCAGGATGAAATATTTGAATATTTGCTTTGTGTACAGCCAACGATTACCCCAAGCGAGATATTTTTATTCACGATATAAAATAAAAGTATTATGGATTTTCTTACCTGGTGGGTGCTGCTGCTGAAGCAAATTCGCCCCATGAGTCTCCAGCACCAGGATTGCCAGGTTTAGGTGTGTGCGCGGGGGAACCAGCAGGTGAACTTCCGGGTGGTGCAGGCAATTTTCCACTCGGCGGTGGTGGCAAAAGTCCCAAGCCTCCTACCCCTCCTGCTTTGGCTTTTGATTTGAAGTTTCCTTCTCCGCCATCTTTCTTCTAAACAACACAACAAAGATATAGACAAATAAGTAAAATCTGGTTTCTGTTTTTTATGTAAGTGTAAGTATAAGAAGATTTTATAGTATTTTACATTATTAGCCAGGTAAAACAGTTTTTACTGGTGATTGAAGGAAATGACTAGCGAGCCGTCAGGCGAGCTTGTCACCTTCAAGAGCCAGTAAAAACTGATACCTGGCGTATGATGTACAATAATTTATTTGTTACTCATTTGTAAACAATCTTAAATAATAAATAAAAAATTAATATACATACAATACAATTTTAATAAATAATTCTCTGACCCTGCTGACTTGTAAAAAGTTTTTACAGTTTAGCTGTCAATTTTACAAGTCAGTAGAACCATTAACTGGTAAAAATCAATTTTCGTTGTTTATATTTTGACTTGATAAATGACGTTTTACAAATGAGTGACAAATAAATGCATTTTCAAGGCTGATTTACATACAGGGTTGGAAAAAACCCGGGTTTTTTTGAAAAAGTCCAACCCGTCGGGTTTTTTTGGGTTTTTATGGGTTTTTTGGGTTTTTTTGGGTTTTTTCGGGCTTACCAGGGGTTAGCGTTTTTTTTCTTCAAATTTGATTTTTAGTTTCTATTTCTGCTTTAGCAAAAGTATTACAAAAATTATGACTTGTTACAAAAATAAAATATCCTTACAAAATAAAACAAGACACTTGATATAAATAAGTAATAAGTCTGTTTCCACAGGAATCAAAAACCAGACAGAGCGTTTTTGATTGGTGCAAATCGCCAACAACCAGTTTTCTGACTATTTTCAACGAATGAAATTCATTCTGAATGGTTTGTGATTTCTGTGGAAACAGGCCTAATAATTACACTTGGCATCAGTGCACTGTACCACGCCTCTTTTTGAAAAAACCCAAAAAACCCAATAATGGTGGGTTTTATCAATTGAAAAAACCCAAAAAACCCCACTGGGTTTTATAATCTGGGGAATTTCTATGCCAACCCTGTTTCCATATTGCAATTTTTTGGCCTGAATCAATTCTGACAACACAATTCCGGCTTAATATTTGAATATGTATTATTGGCACTTGTTTTTGTATTGTTTCACAATCCTTATGGGCATAGATATAGAAATAAGGAAAATTGAAAAAAGCTCAAGCTAGATTTTTATTTATTTACTGGATTATTCCACTCATGTGTTAGAAATCCCATAAGACAAGTGACGATTTTCAGAATTACAGCGAAAATTCTCTTTTCCATTTGTTTAACTAGAGAAAATTACAGCGATAATTCTCCCATGTTATTTTATACATGGTTGTCATGCTAATTTTTGATACAAACAAACGGTTCCTGATAGCAACCATTTATTTGTATTGATTGTTTAGATGTTCAAATCGTCTAATACATATTTATTTCCATATTTTCTGCATTCTCATACGTGAAATAATCCTGTAAATACCACTTGAGCTTTAAAATGAACCAGATAATTTTTCACTCATGCGTGTTTTCTCTGCAAATTTCACTCGTCCTACGGACTCGTGAAATTATAGAAAACACGCAATCGTGAAAAATGATCGGTAATTTTGAAGCTCTCGTGGTATTATCCCCGATAATTTGTTCATCTATATAGCATACAGGGCAATTTTTCTAAGCAAATCCCATAGTGGGCAAATTTCAAACTGCCTACTAAGTTTCTCCAGTTTCCAAAAGAAATTAAACTTGAATTAGGTAAAGCAATCTTACATAGCTCCCACAAAAACTGGAATGCTGTGGAAGTGAACACTCCAATAAATAGGAGCAGCATTAATTATAAAAATGTATTTTTGTTTTTCTTTCTAATGCAGATTTATTGCTTTAGGCAATTAATGTAACATTATTGTAAGAATAATTATTATAGGTACCACCAAAGAGTCTACAAAATCGGTTCTTAAAAGCTCGTTTCAGGTTTGAAAAAAGGACAAGGACACAATCGCACAGTTTATTATTGAAATTTGTGATAGCCAAGCCGTTGTAATATTTTGATTGATAAACTGTGCGATTGTTTTGAACCATTCTAGTACCGTCCTTTTTTCAAATCCGAATAGGCCCAAACCCAAAGTAATCCCTAATGATAAGAAACAACTCGTCAAACTTTCTGGTATCCACTGTATTATTATAATCTAAACTAAACAGCAGCTGAAGTGGGACAACCTAAAAGTTGCCTAATTTTCACTTGCTATAACTTCGACATTTCTTTGCCGATCTTGGATTTTCAGCCAGTGTTACAAAGCGCCATCCTTGGTTTGTCGTCGGATATCTTTTTTTGAAAATTCCTTCTCGTTGTACAGGGCGTGAATGTATAGCGGCGAAAAATTTCCATTTTTTGACAAAGAATATGGAAAGGTGGGTCCAAATAGGGCTTCGCGAGACCACAAGACTAGCCTTGGTCTTGTCTTGGTCTTGGTAGCAAGACCAAGACTAAAACCTAATAAATCTTCTCAAGACCAAGACCAAGACTTAACGTTTAAAACCAAGACCAAGACCAAGACTCTCTCTCGAGACTCTCGTCTTGGTGTTGGTCTTGAAAAGAAAAATCAACTCAATATTTATAAAAAATATGCAAATTCCTATATCTACTTTTACTGCCTTTTAATTAAATCAATTCATCAAATTTATTATTTTTAAATATTTTCTTACCCCTACATATTGTATTGGAATTTCCAAAGAAATATAATAAATTCAATAAAATTCAAATGAGCTCTGTGACTATGTGAGGGTTCTCGAAAACCTTTGTCCGGCCTGAATGCTCAGGTAGGTAAGGTAGGTTTATTCTCATGGTTCAAATAGAAATTTATTTCTTTCCTCCGTACAGAATGGCAATTTTATGTTGTGTTTGTGAACTTTCCTGTTCCTTTAATAAAAATTTTAATTTAAGAATTGATGTTTGTTTGTTCCTCTGTGTTGTGGAATGCTTTATGCGGTATTTTTTGACATGAAACGCTCTTGTCGGTAAAAATAGCCCGTGAATAAGACCAAATGCATGACAATTATTGAAAACGCGATTTGGTCCTGGCTAAAGCAAGTATGGGTTTCATGGCAAATGCGTCATCTGCTACGAGAACAAACGTTGATAAAGTTCCACTTCCCGCCAATTTTATAATGCTATTCTCCAAACCTGTAGATAGAGCACACAATTATGTTATATGCACCACCATCGGATGCTCTAACATTGCAACTAATATCTATAAAAGTTAATCTATAAGCCAAAGCCATTGAAACTATAATATGTGTTCCTTTATATAGTTGAAATAATAGCTCCCACTGCAAGGTGGACCTAGCATATATTAATAATTATACTAATAATAATAATAATAATAATAAGAAAAGCTGTGAGATAAAAGACAATGATAATACAGACAAATGTGCTAAATTGATATCCCGCAAACGAAAACTCCAAGAATTTGACAATCTAGAAAATGAAAATATTTGTTATCTAAACAAAGATAATTAAAAGTACGATATATTTTTTTAATAATAATTGATGCCTTTTCTAAGCTAAGGGCAGGCAATGAAATAATTAATGAATTGCGTGAGATTTTTGCCAATTTTAGCATACCTGAAGAATTGGTTTCAGACAGTGGATAACAGCTCATGTCTGAGGAAGAAGAAAAGTTTTGCTCAAAAACGGTATCAATCATATAATCCCTCCATACCATGCAAAACCAAATGCCGTGGCTGAATATTGAAACAAGCGTTGCTTAAACTAGAACTAGAAAACAACGAAGAACCGATCCAGCAACAGCTTGATTATATATTGTTCGCGTATCCTAACACACCAGAAACAGTACCTAACAGGTAAAATTCCAGCAGAGATGTTTCTTTGCCGTGAACCGCAGATAAGCTATGTTAAAAGAAAATTTGGAAACATCAACAAGTAAATTTGAACTAATTATGTCATTTGATAAAAGCGAATCGATTCACGTTAACACTAAAATGGGAGAGGGAGAAAAATGCATTGAAGGTACTGTCATAGATAAAGTTAGGATTATACGTATTTGTTTGTCTGCTAATAAGGATTCACATGGATGACTTAGAGAACCGCCTTTCTACATTTGATCTTGATTAAACAACTGCTATTAAATATCCATCAGATATTTCTATAGTAGGTACCCAATTCTACTACTAATTCGAATTTTTCCAACATAAATGAATTAATTTAACGACCGCCTCCCAATATTGCACATAAAAATCGTACGTTGCTTGGAGGAAAATTAATTCACTCTATGTAGGCGAATGTCAGGTAATACTTTGTTGTACTTAGAGGTCCGTATTACGGAACGCGATTGGTAATGTGTAATTGTCAAAACCTGATGTCACTGCCAATACTTTTGCAAATAATTTCCAGTTTGTCTCAATAAGTGCTCCTCTGATCAAAGAATAACATGGAAAAAGTACCAGAGCAACCAGATCAGTCTATTGAAGGATCGAGCAGTGATAAGCTTGTTCAAGAACCGAGCAGTACTCAGTATTTTCCAGCTTTAAGTGGTATTTCACCCTTTGCATCGCCGAGCGCTATTGAGCATACTGCAAAACCTCAAAGTGCAGGAACTCAAAGTCCAAGACCCAAAATTGCAAGACCAAGCCGCACCAGGACCATTGCAAGACCAATCCGCCGGTATCATTTGTGCCGCCGCCGCCCCCAACGTTCCATAGTGAGGGATACTTCTCCTATTGCGGGGCCGAGCGGTATTCAGCGTAGTACAGAAGAAAGCGAAATTGAACCCGTAATCCAGTTGCAGCCTAAACCGAAAAGTGTGATTGACATGATGGAGCTCTTGGCATTAAAACCAGCGAAAAAAGTTGACTCGGAAATACACACTGATAGAGCAATAATTAAAAAAAGGCTATTAAAAGGGAAAATGATAATCTCCTCCAACATTAACCATATTTGGTGCCCTTCATGCAGTGAAATTGATAATGATTCGACTTGGATTCAGTGCGATACTTGTACAAGGTGGTGGCATCAGGACTGC